TGGGCTGTGTGTTGTCTCAGTAAATAAATTCTTCCTCGTATTCAAGTGGAGGGAGCTTCCTGTGCATCAGTTTTTGCCCACTGCTTTATGTCCTATTGCTCTGCACCACCGATCAGAGCCTGGATCCATCCTCTTGGTGCTCCCCTTTAGGTATTTAAAAACATTGTTGAGGTCCCCTCTTAGACGTCTCTTCTGGAGCTTAAACAGGCCCAGATCCCTCAGCCTTTCCTGTCAGAGAGATGTTGCAGTTCTTTATCTCTGTTCCCCTCGGTGGTCCCCCTCCAGAAGCTCTGGGTCTGTCTTGTACTCGGACCCCAGAACTGGACACAATAGTCTAGATAGTTTCCTCCAGTTGTTTTTCGCACAGCYCCTCTAAAAGCTCTGACTTTGTGTTAGAATTACCCACAGGGGCACCCTCATCTCCGTCTAGAACAGCACTTGCAATGTAGGGTGAAATATCAGCCTGCCAGCCGTCTCTCCTACCATGTGCCCTTTCYRTATAACAACAGGACTTTTTAAAACWGTGTCACAAATAAATRGATAAMTTTATATYTCTAAATGTCTTAAATAAATCTGCCAGCAGCGTTAATTGCACTGAGTTCTTCCCCCAGGTGTGAATCGCCATTTCCACATGATTTGYATCCGGGATAAATTCAGCCAGAATATTGGACGGCAGATCTCATCCAAAGTGATCTGGGACCATCTGAGCACCATGTATGATATGCAGGCTCTTGTGAGTACAAAGGGTTGATGCAGCCACATGGTTGTTTCATAGAGTTCAGAGGTTTTGACAGGCCAAAATCACTGGGCCTGCTGTACTTTTCGTAACACTGAGAATTGAGTGTCATTCCAGTGGCCTGATGGGGTTTTCCCTGAATAAAAGTAGATTAGATAGGAGACAATAAAACCTGCAATACAACCTGGGTTTTGAGGGGCCTTTTTGGATTTTTTTTGCTATTGTGTTCTGACTTTGTTTATTAATGCTGATCCAGAAAATCATATAATGCTCAAACGACAAAGTCATAGTCTCTTTACATAAGGATTTGCCATGTTGGGTTTCCATAAATGATCTCAAATGATCATGATCTCAGGTATCTTGACCTTAGTAATCGGTTTGACATCAGGAGCCTCCTGCTTCTCTAACATCTGAGGTGTCTTGTTAAGAATTGTGCAGATCCTAATTGCGTGTAAAATAGAACTTGAGATTGCATGTCAAAATTCAAATTGAAGTTTTTACCAGTCACTCACAGARATCTTCCTTTTCTTTCTAAGCATGAATCTGAAATTCTTCCATTCCCTAATATAGAGAAGAATTTTGCTCTTCCTGACGAAATGATTCAAGAAGTGAGAGAAGGTGAGATGTGATTGCAGTCTCTGATTCTTCATTGCTTTAATCTCAAGTCAGAACCTTTAACAAAACTCTCCCCAAAAAATCGTGTATTGTCAGATCTAATAGAAATATGGTGGAGTTTGAGAGAGCTCTCCAGTTGAGCAGTGAGAGCTGAATTTTGAAATTTAGCTGCTGTGTGTTAGTACTGTAATCCAAAGTAGGAACTAGGAAGTTCAAGCACCTACCAAAGGACTTCTTGGGAAGTGGAATGGTTCTCGATTACTAGGTACACTAAACTTTGCACTAAAAAATCAGTACAAAAATCTTAGTACAGATTTGACATTGSAATATGTTTTGCCTGTTTAGGATTTCACTTTCTCCTGTTAATAATAATTTCTTAACACTGAATTACTGCTGAATATTGCAAGGASTATTTGCAAAAATGCAAAGAAGCAGAGGCTATGAATTCAGAAAAAATCCATGTGGTTCTTTAAAACCATCTAATCATTGCTAACAATCCTTTCTGTAGGAAAAGTTACAATAGAAGAAGAAGTGAAAGAGGAAGTTTTAAAAGAAGAGATGGAAACGCATGCAGGTCCTGAAGAAGGTAATTTTGTAACTCTCTACTGTGTAATACGAGATTAAAAACCAACTGTAATTGAGAAATTAATGTTAAAATGTAAATCCCAAATGCAGTGTACTTTGTGATTTGTACTCAGACTTAGCCTGTGCTCATGCTAAGAACTTGAATTATTTAGGAGTGCACAGAGTAAGCAGCTGCTTATTGAAAAGATTTCTTCTTTGCTCCTAATTCATCTGTGCAAAGTTGTATAGCTTTGGAGATTTTTGGCTTTAATATGTACTTGACAAACCCCTGGGAGTCTGAAGGAATCTGAGGATCTGTGCAAGAAGGTTGAGTCTGGTTTTATTGAACTTAAATAYTCTGTGTTGGGAGCTCTGTAGTCAYGGGGTGAATAGAGCCTATAAGTCAAAAAAGATTGTAAAATTGCGTGCTGAAGTGGGAAGGTGACAGAGTGTTTATTTTATTTTATTCTYATTATCTTGCTGCTTTTAAATAAAAGGCTTGTTTTCCTAATACTTTGCTGTAGAACAAGTCAAATGTGAACAGTAGAGATCCTGGTATTTATCTTAACAGACCAAGTCAACTGCTAACTATATAATTTCATCTTATTTATATCACTGAATAAGTGGTGTTTATAGATTGTAACAAAAGATCTAAAAATGTATTTTAAAATATATTAAATTTCACATTTTGGTTGTTGAGTTTTAAAATCTACCTATGATACCAAATGTAATGACTGCTGCTGATATAAATTCCATAGATTGGTCCTATGTTTCTGTAAGTGTTCCTTTGAAGTATTTCAATATTAAGTGCTGTTTAATTCCACTTAATGAGTTTGAATTTTAGCCTGTCAAAATATATGCCTGTCTTTAAAGCAAATAATAAAAGCAAGATGTGCCTTTCTCAGAGAAGATTTTTTTCTTTAGGACTGAAAGTAATACTTAAATGGTGGACAAATATGCTGAGAGTTGATTGTTTTGAGAAGTTTTATGGAATATAAAGAAGTTTGATATCACTCTTGTTTGCCTRTGTGTATGACTCTGATCTGGAATCATTACTTTGATCCTATTTCAGTTTTTGCACCCTCTGGAAGTTTAGGAAAAACAACTGAAAAGCCAAGCAGCAAAGAGAAAGAGAAAACTTCATCAGATCCTGGATCCAAGGAAGGATCTGATAAGAGGAAGCGCAACAGAGTCACTGAGAAGGTGCTAAATGCCAACAGCAACCCCTCGAGTCCCAGCACCGCCAAACGACGCAGGACGTAGAGCTGAGGAGAAGTGATAAACTCTGGGAYGGGAGGAGGGAACAGGAAAAACAAGGAGCAGCACAGTCGCCACAAGAACTTTTGGAGGAAGTAAAAGATAACCTGAGCCAGTAATTGAAGAATCTGCACATTGGCTTTGTCTCTCCTGGGGTGTTKCCTGGGCAGCAGCGAGGAGCCACCTTCGCAGGGCGTGGGGACAAAGGTGGCAGTGGGGAGGGTGGGTGTGACAGTGCCAGGGCTGAGCTTCAAACCAGCAACACATTCTGTGTCAGCACAGCTCACTGAACCAGTTGTCCAGTGGGGCACAGGGSCTGGGACCATCAAAAGCAGAGGTGATTTCTGTAAATGTGGGGGTGTTTTTTCTGCCTTTGCTGTCTGTGAATATAACAGACCATGTGTGGGTAATGTTTGGCCATTTCCCTTCCATTTGTATCAAATGTCTTCATGTATTGGTTCAGTAAACCTCAAATTCTTTTCAGTGCAGATAACTACTGCATTTCAAATGTTCTGTCGCTCTCTTTGCTGGAGGAACATCATTTCACCCTYTTTGATGCAACATTTAGCAGTCTTTCTACATTGGTATGCCATCAGTAAGGTGAAAATTATAATGCCCCTAGCCAAAATAATTAATAAGTGTCCTAAATACAATATGGTGATAAGACATAGTTTTGTAAGGGATCAGCTGAGCTGTGTGTGACCCTGAAGGTGTTGCTTCATCCATTTGTAATACAGTAGAGTGTAAAAGTGGGGTTTGTACTTAATTATTTATTTTTTTAAAGCAGTTTTAGTAGATGTGAATGGGATTGGTTTTCCAAAATGTTCATGTTGTTCTACAACTGAAGAATCTTGCTGACATTGTAATGCTTATCTTTTGTATGCTAGAACATTGAGATTTGATGAAGTTACTATTTTTGTGTTGTCAAAAGATGAATCGCAGTCAACAAACACCTGTTAAATGGTGAATGAAGCAGGTTGAAATGGTACTGAATTTGTTTCACTATATTAACTATCAGTTAATAAAAAGAAGAATTCCTTCTTGGTGTGTCAGTATTGCCTTCAAGGTGAGGCACTAGGAGTCTTCTAGTTTTTGTTTTTATTCTAGGTACATAGCCGAGTTGTCYGCCTAATTTACTTCTCTTGTTTTATATAAAGAATAAATTTGACTTGTTTTTATTTTGCTAAATAACAATTCTTGTGTGACTTGATTAAAAACYGGCCCAACTTATTTTGAAAGTAATTTAGCATTAAAGTGCTGGTTACTTTGTCCTGATCTACATAGATTTTGGCTATAAAGTGCAGATTTTGTAACTCTTAAGTCTCATTAGTCCCTGTGGGCTAATCCTTTTTATCCGTGGAATTCTATTCAAAAATTTTTGCTCTACCAATGCAATGCTTTTGTAGCTTAAAGTAAAAATATGTCAGCAATAGCATGTACTGCTGCAACCACTCAGCACCAACCTCATAGCAAGGAAAGTCCACTTGGGGATTTGACAGTCAATCCTGCAACGCAGACTTTTACAAAATTTTTGGAGGTGAAGTTGAGTATCGCCAAATGTAAATGGTTTAACTGACGGCGGTGCAGCCGCTCACTGCTCCCCTCAGCTTTGTCGAGCGCTGGTTCTTTGACATGACTGTTTTTTGACATTTCTGTTCTTTGACATTTCTGTTATCGTGTTAGTGTAAGCGCGTTCCTCCCGCTCCGGACCGCGATGGGAGCGGTGCGGGCGGGCGCAGGGCGCGCGCGGCCGGCCGGGCCGCACTGACCAATGGGGAGCGGCGGCGCAGGAAGGGGGCGGGGCCTGCGCGCGCTTCCGTCCCCCGTTCCCCCCCACACGTGGCCGGGCTTTGTGCGCGCGGGCGGGCGGTTCCGCCGCCTCATCCCGGGCCCTTTCGCTTTCCCTTTCCCTTCCCCTCCCCGCCGCTCCCATGGCGGCCCGCCTCACCTGCAGGGCGGACGAGGACGAGGCGGAGGACGAGGCGAACCTCTGGAAGTACGACTCCACCTGGGAGGGGGAGGAGGAGGAGGACGAGGAGGAGGATGGCGGAGGCGAGCCGGAGGGAGCGGCGTTGGAGGAGCCGGAGGATGCGGGGGAGCAGCCGGGGCAGGGCCGGGCGCGGAGCTGCGGGCACAGCCAGGTGCGTGTGGGGGGCACGGGGCAGGGAACGGCCTGAGGGGACCCTTTCCGGACCTTCCTGCCCGCTTCAGGGGCCCGCAGCCSGAGCCCCTTCCCGACCCTTCGTTCCCTGTTCCCCCGTCCGAGCCGCTGCTCGGGAGTGGAACGGCGAGCTCGGTGCCGGCGGAGAAACCGCGGCCCTCGGGGCATCTCCGGCACAGAATTTGTCCTCATCTGGAAGAAGCAAATCCCCCTGAAGAGGAGGGGGCAGAGGGATGCTGTCACTTCATGACTCCTCAACATCCGTGACATTGCCATGAGCTGGGTTTTAATATATATTTTTCCTCACTCGCTCCCTACGATGTGGTTACTTTGTATACATATATAAAGTACACAAATACAGATTCTGTTTGTGTGTGGCACCTGCCTGTTCACCCCTGCTGATGGCCGCTGGATTTGACATATGGCATTGATGCTCTCSTTGCTTTTTAAGTTTTTGGTTGGCATCCTCAGCTTTGTATGCTGGCCTTCCCAGGGCTCTTTCATGCTATCAATAAAAAGCTGTTACATAATATCTGCTCAATTTTAAAAGTGAGCTGTAAGGCTTTATTTCTCTTAGATATGTTATATTTCTTAGGGAGCATGTGTAGAGTAACTTTGAAAATCAAAATGTACCAGGTTTTAGAAGCTGGAGGTACATGTGCAGTTGAGAGCAGGTACTGCAAAACATGAGCATTTGGGTCTCCTGCCTTTAGATAATATTTATTTGAAATGGAAAGAATTTGTTAGTTTCTGGTTTTAGCATCAGTGTTTTTCAGTTTGACACTGAGTGTTATCAATTTCTTCTCCAGCATTGTTTTGGTAAATGCAACTCTCATTTTGAGTAGTTCCTGTGTCAGGCAAAACATACTACAGTCCTTTAACTCCTCCCCTCTCTGGGAAAGGGAAACTACTCCTTCACTTGAGTCCATTTCAGCAACTCATTTGTATTTTTAGAATATAAATAGGCAGATAAAACTTTCTAATGAATGCCCTTTTAAAGGASTTTAATATTATCTTTATCTTTTGCTTAATAAGCATTAAAATACAGAAATAGCCACTCTTGAGGGAAAAAATAAATTATTTGTGCACATAGATCTGGGAAAAGCCAGTAGTATTTTGGGTGGGGTAGTGGTAATACTGAAGGGAAGAGGCAGAGATTTCCTTTAAAGTGTTTTGCACTGTTTGAGGGCACCCTATCAGCTTTCTTTTGTACATGGCTGGAGTTCACAAGCTKTAATAACTCCAGAATGTTCCATTTCTGTTTGAAAGTATTTGTTCTTCAGATTCTTTTTTTTTCTTAGATCAGCTCTGGATTGTGACAGCTCTAAAAGCAAGGACCATTTTTTCACTCCAGTGAGTGGACTTTTTCAGCTTTGTGCTACGGAGGAGGATGTTGTCCCTGAGACTTACAGCCCCTGGATTGTTCTGCATTTTTAAAGAGGAGCCCTTCCTTCAGTGATGAATGTGTAGTCACCTCGGTGTGACAGAGCCTGAAAAATTGTAAGGGCAGTGGGAATGAATGCACAAAGAAGCAGTAAATCTGCTATCCATATCTGCCTTTGCAACCTGTCAAAGGCATGGATCAATTTCCCAAACTAGWTCCTACTTCTGCTTATTTTACACTAATTCTCATTCTTCTCCCCTCAGCCTGGATGGTTTTCTTTATGCCTGAAGTGGCTAATGTCTTTCTTTGGTACTGAGGTTAGAGCTTTTTCTTGTTATTTTCACTATGTACTTTCAAGACTAACTTTAAATTCTACTACTGTTTTTACATTTGTCTCTGCGAGTGTTCACTCTGTGAAGTTCCTGCAGATCTAGAGTCTCTCCAACTCTTGCATTTCAGTGCCTTCAGCTTCTACAAGTGAGCTTTGAAAACTTTGGGGGTTGTGTTCATTTAAGAAAGTTCTCCCTCTGAGACTGCTGTAACCCCTGGAGTCCCTGATCAGTTGTTTTAATAACAAACCCCATGGTCCTGCCTTCTTCTAAATCTCCATCAACAAAAGTTGCCAATCCCTCTTCTGACCTCTTTCCATCTTTCTCATTCCTGTGCCTTGTTCACAATCCACATTCCTTTTGGTTACAGCTGGCTTCCATCTGATTGCTCAGCCCAGTCCTGTTTCTGTCACTCTCTCCTGTCACTCTCTCCTGGCTGTGTTCTCTCTCTCTTCCCACAGCAGTGCCTGTTCTTCCTGGTATGATACAGGTTTGGAGGGTGAAACCCACTTAGTTTTGCTCTAAGGCAAAAAGGTGCTTTGATTTCTTCATGGAATTTCAGCCTTGCTGTTTAGTTTGTGTTTCTTACCTGGAAAGAAAGGCCTTAAGTTTCCATGTGGCTTAAGTTGGAAGTTTGTAGAGACAAAGAAACAACACCTGCTTGGAAGAGCAAAGCTGAGTTTTGCTCTTGTTGCTTCCCCATCTTGTTCTCTTGATTGCTGCTCTCCAGAATGCCTTTTCCTTGGATCTAGCTTCCTTCTGGACAAGCCTCACAGCCTTTTGCACCATAGCATTGCATCTGTCTGTGTATTTGCCCTGACTCTTCAGTGATGCAGTTCTTCTTCTACATCTGCTGTTCTCCTGTCTCAYCTGACTGTGTTCAAGGATGTTACTTTAGACCCTTAAATATAAAGAATTTCTGGGAATTGATTATTTTGTAACAGGGAACAAAGTTGTTATTAATTCCATGTGATTCTCATCAAGGCAGCTGAATGGGTGACTTCATTAGAGCAAGTTATGAGTGTAGTGCAGTTCCTGCCTTAATAATGAACCAGTGATCAGTGTTCATTAGAAAGTGGTTTTAGCCTGTGTTATTAAGAAATATCAAATGAGATTATGAAATAACTTGAGGAAGTTTTTGCTGCTTCTTTCTTCTGAATTTCTTTTAATGCTTATTTTGGAAGATTCTACACATCTTAGCCCCATTTTCCAGCTTTCCTGTTCTCTCTGTGTGGTGACATTGAATCCTCTGGCTGTGCTCTGCTTTCAGTGCCCTTTATTCATGAACAGTCTTGTTCCTTTTGGGTGTTCTGTAAAATGCTGTCATGGTTTGGGATAAGATGCTTCAGCACTCAGCAAGATTAAATGTCTGTGTTGTTTGTGAAGTGTAACAAAATCCCTTATCATTGAGGTATTCAAGTGTGTCAATAAATATGTATATAAATCAGTTAAAATGCACTTTAAACTAAGTCATACTTGCAATTTCTGTTTCCAAGACATTGAGGGGAAGAAGTGAAGCTGTTCTTTGTGATTTGTGTCTAAATGTGACACTTGGGATGAATCTAGCACATCTGTGAAGAGAACCTGGTGCCTATTTATGTGGCATCGCAGGTTTTTCTCTGTAGCAATTTGAATTATGCATAAAATACAGTGAATTCAGCTGTAACTAGGTAAATCTGTCACTTGGCAACTGATAGGAATCATGTGAGTCACTGCTGTGGGTATTCTCATTTTGTATCTATTTTTTAATTTTCTTAGTGAAGTTTGGTTTCAARATGTTCCAACTAAATGCTTTTTATTTGCAGGATCAAAGCTCAARTTCATCACTGCTGTCTTGGAGTTTTCAGGTAGGCTTGACATAAAGTTTGGTTACATGAAAGGATGGGTAATAAATGAAAAGGATGATTGGCAGAGAAGCTYAGTAAAATAAATATCTAATGTGACTGTGTGGCTCTGTTGCTTTCCATTGTCTAAATGAGCAAGGTTGATCTTGAGCATAAAGCAAAGATGGAGAAAACTTTTATTTCAGCCATTCTACAGGAATGAGAATCTTGAATTCAAACGCTATTTCTGCATCCTAAATTCTACAATTTGAAAGTCTGGTCTCTGTCTTCACTAGGGTTTATAGCAACTCAGAGATGTCTTGTTTTAAAACCTTTGAGTTAAAGAAAAACAATGACATTTTCCTATTTGGGATCTCCAGCTAGTTCTGACCATTTCCACTGGCAAAACCAATTGGGATGAAAGATATACATAAAACATAAAAATCTTGATTAATAGGATGAGAAGGAAAAAGAAATATTTTGATCACAGGAGATGATGATGTTAACTTCTCTTGGTTTAAATTTRTCTTGAGGAATRCAGAGAAATGACCACAGTACYWGTCTGSCTGGTTTTGRGGGTGTTGTGAGTGCAGGGTGCATKCAGAGGAACCTGTGGGAGGTACTGAATTCAGAGAGGGGATTATTTTAATTTGTAAAAGGTGACTTCATTCTGAATCTCTGCTCTGTCTCTTCTCTCCAGTGCAGCGGGAGGCGCAACTGGATGGCAGCGAAAGACCTGCAGAGATACAGAAACCATTACCCAGTARGTGCTCCTGGGGCTCCTCCTCATCACTTCCATCCTTTAGGAACACTTCCTAGATTTGAGAGCACCCCTTTGCCTTCACATTTACAGGCTCAGCACCTTCAAAGGATTCATTTGTGAGGGGGAAGGGATGATGTGTGTGTGGGTGCATSAGAAACAAGCAAGCTGCTACTTCCCAAAGCACATTTTGAGGATTTAGCTTGAAATGTTTAGGGAATGTGAGGGAAAACAAGAAGTGTTGGAGTGAATGCTGCCTTTTGAAAGGTTGCTGTTTGTTCATTTCTTGTTCTTGTCTCCAGGATTTGAAAGAACCAGAAAATGAGGAGGAGGAAGAGATGTGGAACTTGAGCTTTTATAAAAATGAGATTGCTTTTGTGCCCCACGGTGAGTACCTTGTGTGGTGGCTGTTTTATGCCATCTGCTGCAGCTGGTTGAATTGATGAGAGTATTTTCATCCATGTGAGACAATGAAAAACCAAACAAAAACCACCCCCCAAACCAAATAAAACCCTGCCAAGAATGTCTGTTTAAAAATGTTCCTGCTGTATTTTCCTTAATACTCTGTTTGGTGGCGGAAAATTAAGGGGTTTTTTTGGCTGGTTGTCTTGTTAGATGGAGAAGGCAATGCATTTGTTTATGTATGTATCTGGGTCTGGCTAATGAGCCATGTGGAGTGACTGGCTAACTTTATTTGGTATCATTTCTTGCCTGACCTTTCCTTTTTCCTTGCAGGTGTGCTTATTGAAACTCTGCTTTCATTGTGGTGGGACAACTATGAAATGCTGGAAGAAAATCATTCTTACATTCAATGGTAAGCTGCATGAACATGGTACTTCTCTCTAGTTGTGCCTTTTTTAAGGGCCAAGTGGATCTGTATTCTTGATTTCAGCTTCACACAAGGCCCAGAATCRCTTTAGTTAATTGAGTTGCATTGTTCAGGAAGCAATGCATTGGAAATCCTGAAAACACAARTTTCCAGTGGAGCTGTGGCAATAGGGCTCAGTCATTCTTGGTCATGGAGCACAGAGTTAGGGCAAGGAGAGATCCACATAAGCAAAGTGTTGTTACTGTTGATGTGGACAATGCTTTTATGGGAGGGATTTACTAGAAAACTGCTCCTGTGTCRATAAGGATGTGAGTTCTCCAGGAAATCCCTTTGCTTTCACAAGTGTTGGAATCTTTTTTAGCTTTAAGAAGTTGGGTACACCAGGTTTGCTGTCATGCTTGCTCATGTGTGCTGAAAATTTCTTCCCTTCAGGCTGTTCCCTTTACGTGAACATGGGATGAACTGGCGTGCCAGGCCGCTCACCTGTCAAGAAATCCAGGTATTAAAACTTTTGTTTCTTTTTATTATTTTGAGATCTGAAGGATGTTAGGATTTTCCCTAAATGCCTTTCATTTGAAGTCTAGTGGGGTTTTTTTCTGGTGTTTCCTTGTGTTTTTAGTGTGYACAGAGCTCACAGTGAAGCATTTGCCTGTCTTGTGTCAGCAAATGAAACGCTCAGTGATACAATCAACCCTTGTTAATAGTTCAGGTAGTTAGGGAGTTGCACCTTTTAATTGCTATCTTGTTTTCAGGCCTTTAGGAAGTCCAAGGAGGTTATGGACAGGTTTATACGTGCTTATGAGCTCATGCTGGGATTTTATGGGATCAGTCTTGTCAACAAAGAAACTGGAGAACTTAAGAGAGCAGAGAATTGGCGTGAACGATTTGAAAACTTGAACAGGTGAGTTTGTTGTTGCTGTTGAGCATTTACTGCAGCCAGCACTTCTTCAAGGGGAAAAATAAAARTCAAAGCCAAGGAAATCCTCAGCCCTTGAGGAATGGAGACTTCTGTTGGTAAAATGTTACCTAGTAAAAGTATTTTTAACTTCTATTTTTTTGTTGAGCTGCAAAATAGAAGTGTTTCCATATGGTTCCTAACAGTCTATGAAACTCCCTTAATGTGTGTAAAGTGCACTTTAAAAGTGAACCCACCTGTGCTCCCATTTGCWTTGTCAAATAGTCTTTAATGGATCACAGTCCATAAATGATAAAACATTTTGCAGATGCCCCAGAGGTTCAGTGACTTGTAAGCCTTGCCCTTGATAGCTTTGCTTCTCTGTTTCCTTCAGGTTCAGCCACAACAATTTGAGGATTACTCGCATCCTGAAGTGCCTGGGGGAGATGGGATATGAAGACTTTCAAGTGCACTTGGTGAAGTTTTTCCTCACAGAAACTCTTGTTGAGGAGACATTACCAAACGTCAAGAGAAGTGCCTTGGATTACTTCCTGTTCACTGTCAGAAGCAAAGAGAAGAGGAGAGAACTCGTCCACTATGCTTGGCAACACTTTAAACCTCAGAAAAACTTTGTCTGGGGGCCTCATGACAAACTCAAGAAGTACAGACCCCGCTCTGCCAAACAGCAGCTGCACCAACGGCCTGAGGACAAACAGGACACTCYGTGTAAAAAATGTGGTGATTCTGTGGGGAAGGATCAGAACCAGTCTCCAGAGGTGGAGCAGAAAGCTGGAGATGCTGCAGAGTTGCAGCCTGGAATGAGTGATGAACTTGTAAAAGAGAAGATAAGCAAATGCATTTTGAAGGGAGGAGATAATGAAGAGGAGAAAGAAGTTTCATTGGCCCAGCTGGAGGAGAAGGATTTAAAAAGTGAAGCCAAAGAAGTGCAGGGTACAGCAGAAAATGACTGTACAAAGGAGAGCAAGAAGAGAAAACTGCATGCAAATTTGGCAGATGATAAAATGGGTGGATCCTTGAAAAACTCTGCTGATATTGAAAACATCTCTCACAATCTGGGAGAATGTGCAATTGATGCAGAAGTCCCTTCCTCAGGCCCAGTCTCCCAGGCAGAAGAGGACCAGGAAACACTGAAGGAAGATGATTCAAGCACCAAAGAGCCGGCAGCACCAGAGGCCACGGATGCAGCTGTGAAACGGAGGAAAGTTGATAAAAGAACATTGAGAAGCAAACCAGTCAACTTGGCCATAAACCTGAACATGGGGCCCTCAGCCTCTGGTGCCAAGGCAAATCCATCTGCTGCTAATGGTGAGGCTGGAAAGGAAAATATCAGTGAGAAAAATGCAGCTGTGGAAGTGCCAAGTGAGAAGGGGGGTGGTGGTGGTGATGCAGATGGTGGGGCTGTGAGACCCCTGGCTGCTTCCAGGCTCCCCAGGACTGGCTGCACTGTTCCCATCAAGGATGGCTGGAAGGCGAGTGGAGATCAAGGGTCAGCAGTGGGTGATCAGCCCCACTGCAACAGCAAACTCCTGGGGGGTAAAAGTGAASTAGATGGGGTAGAACAGCAGAAAAAGACAGAAAATCCAGGTGAAAAAGGGCAARCAGAAGACACAGACGAGAAGCAAGCTCCAGAGAGTCATGAGCAGAGCGTGACACCCACTTGTCGTGATGAAAACAGTGCTGATGTTGCAACACAAAAAGCTGAAGGCTCTGAGGATGCAGCAGAGCCTGGTGGAGAGCAGGGAGCAGCAGAGTGAGAGCAGCACTTTGAGCAGCTGAGCCAGCAGAGATGGCACTGCCCTGTGCTGGGAGCCAGCTTTGGAGGCTTGGAGAACTGAATAAACTTCCTTTGGGATGATCAGCTGGCCTGTCTCACTTTCACTATCCCATGGTTTTTTAATCATCTCTTGTAAACTCATTGAGATGCAGCTCTTGATTACCCTAAAGAGGAAAACTCTTAATTTGCTCCTCTTCAAGTGCAGGCCCATGTCCTGTTCCTGAGTTTTATCTGATGTTCAGGGCTATCCTGGAGCAACGGGGATTTTTGCACTTTGATTCTGGTTATGTCCCTAACTGAAAGAGAAGAGGAAAACTGATCTTGTCTCCTTATTTGAATTACTTAATTATTTATTAAATACATGATTTCTRATGTAAGACAGCATGACCTAATCTGCCAGGCCTTTCTATTACTGTATAACTTCTGTTTGTTATTTTGAAAAGCTGTACCTTATCAGGAGTTTTTTCCTGGCAAAAGTGCTGTTTCTCTAAAAGAGATGATTATATGGATTTCACATGATGTCAGAGGATAGTTGCCTCTCCTGTTAGGAAAGTAGCGTCGTCTTTTTAGGGATAAAAAGCGTTACCAAAATGTATCTCTGATGATTATGAACCTTTGTGTAGAGATTCTGTTCTCTGAGGTGCAAAGTGCTGAATAATTAGTTCTCTTTATCCCCATGGGCGTTGCTTTGTAGTTCTTGTTGGAGTTGTTAAAGAGTATGAATTGTTTACTGGTTTTAGAGAAAACACTTCAGATTTTGCTTAAAACTCTCTAGAGCTGCTCTTCTGCAGGTTTTCCCACCACTTTTAGACTCTTTATAGTCTTCCACAGATTTTTGTGTCCATGACTGTTTCAAAGGCCCTCRTTTCTCAGTTGCCAAAACAGCCCAAATATTTCCCAGTGCATTTTTTTTCAGCCTTTGCTGGTAATTTGCAGTGGCCTGGGGGGCTCTTTCCTGCAGGTCCATGTCGTGAGGTTTGGTGTGTCAGATCCAACCCATTTCCTTCTTAGGGCAGGATTGCTTTGCCTTTAATGTCAGACAGCCAGGGCATGTTCCAGTGCAGCATGTCTGGAAACCACTGGGCTTTGTGGGGCAGTTAATTGAAACGTTAATTGGAGAGGCTAYGCTTGTCTGGTTCATTTATTTCCAACCCTCAAGAATTTACTTTCAGACCTTGCCAGCTCTGCCTGCTTTAGTGTTCCTGACCTCTCTGTCAGCTGTTCTGCCACACTTACACAATGTTCCACTGAGTGAAGGAGCATTAAAACAGTTTAGCACCTTTACTCCTAAAGATTGGCAACACAGGACTTGTTTCATGAAGTAGAGAAAACTTTCCAACAGCCAGAAGGTCTGGATTTGCTGTTTACTCAGGTTGTTTKGGATGGTTTTGGGGTTCTTTGGTGCTGTGTGGTTTTGTGTAGGAGATGGCCAGGGAGCAGATGCAGCAGCTTGTGCAATGTCAATGTTTTTCCTCTCTGCTACAGCTCTTAAAAAGCTTCATCTTTCAAGGAATTTGAGGGGTGACTTGCCTTCCCAGACTGTAGGTTCTGATCCAGCATGCCACATACATGTGTGGGAATAAAAGTCTGCAAGCTTAACATCTGATGTTCATGGTCACACATGTGCTGCAAAAAGGCTTTAATGTTTTTAAAACACTTTTTTTTCTTCTTATGAACAGGTGGAGTTAAATAGCCAATAAGAATACACTTAACTACAGATATAAATACTTGAAGATGTTGAGTGAAAATTCTTTCCTAACAGATTCCTAMGAATTGTTAATTGTGGCTTTTGTACAGATTTATAGTCATTTTCTTATTTAATGAAGTTTTCATTGTGAATATGTGCTCAGTTGGGGCATAGATCCTATATCTTGTTATGGTGAGGTTTGGTTTTGTGTTTAATGGGATTTCACTGTGAGCCCCAGCCTGGAGTGAGTGCTCAAACCAACCCTTTCCCTCTGATCCCYGGTTTACTTTTGGCTGTAGGTGTGTGTGGTGAGTTCACAAGGTGTTTCCCAGCACTCAGAGCTGTATCACAGAATCTGTTGATTCCTTTATTAAAGCATGACTTTAATGCRTATCAGTTTCCACTGACATTTTTTSCTCTTTGAGGGCAGGATGTSACCRTGTGTTTACCCAGCACCATCCACCCCCTGGAGCCCTGAGCTGTTCCTTGGTTCCTCCAACCAGCTGGGTGCTCTGCTGGGCTCACTGTGGGACATGCCCAGTCTTCCTCCATCTCTAAAACATTCCCAGTAAATGATTTTGGGGGAAAGATCTCCCCAGTGCTTCTTATTTCCATGATGTGCTTGGAAATTGTAGAATCACAGAATGGTGTGGGTTGGAAGGGACCTCTAAAGTTTATCTCAGTGCAACCTCAGGGATGCCTTCCACTGGACCAGATTGCTCCAAGCCCCATCCAGCCTGGCCTTGAACACTTCCAGGGATGGAATGTTTGGGTGGTTCAGTGTGTTTTGTTTGCCCTGGCTTGCCTTTGTGCTGCCATCCTCCCCCAGGGGTTGTGATGCCCTGTAGGGCAAACCAGAACTTTGAGCATCCCCTGGGGCTCCAGGCAGGAGGGCACCTGTCCAGGCTGGTTTGGGGGGCTTCAGGGGGTCTTTTCCTTCAGGACACAAGGACAGGGCTGTCCCTGTGATAACAATGTCCCTAAGTCACTGTGTCCCCTCAGCTGGGCTGCCCCTGCCTGTGGGTGTGGAGTGAGAGGGTTGCAGGGAATCCTTTTGGTCTGGGATGTGCTTGAGAGTGAACAGTCCCAGGGCTCTGCCTGTGCTGATCATGAGCAGGCTCCACGTGCTGCAAACCCCCAAGCCCTGGCTTTATCTGGGCAAGGAGTGATGGGGATTTGGTTCTGCTTTGCCTTCCCTCCTGCCATCAGTTGGCCTCAGTGTGAAGGAGGAGGCACAAGCTGTGCAAAGCTGTTCATGGGACTGCACCACTCTCCCTTTTGGGGGTTTGGGGTGTCTAATAAAGCACACCAGTTACTTTGAAGCCATCAGAAGACAGTCAAATGTTCCCTTTCTGTCTCCAACTGCCTGTTCCACAAAAATCTTGTGGGAACTGAGTAAATCTGATTCCTTCATTCCTCTGCCAAGTTCTAGGAATATTGGCTGCTGGGAGCTGGACAGACACACAGTGTGCTCCTACAAACCTCCTGGTGTAAGGATGCCAAGCTCAAATGTGGTGTTTTCAGTTCTTAAACTTTCCTTTTCCACTCCTCTTGCCTTCCTAACCAGCTGAGCTGTGTCATTTCAGTCCTCAGTATCTTGCTGCTGTTCCTCTTCACTTCCAAGCCCTGCTTTGGATTAAATTGTCTTTAATTAGTAAAGGGAAGTGTGAAGCTCTGCAGGACATGCATCTTCATGAATCTTTCCATTTGGGATCACCAGGCTGGGAACTGTCCTCCTCTTCCTGCCTTGCAATATTTTCGTGGCTTTGAGAATGTTTCTCCTCTTTCCTTACTCCTTGTGTCTGTCTGTGATTGTCTGTTTTCTGATCAGCATTCATCACTTTCCCAAAGAATCAGAGTTGGTGCTCTTCAGATCACCCTGAAAAACGAAACCAGATGTGAACAAAGCTAACAGASCTAGCAAAGCACCTCACCAAGCTGTAAGTGCAGTTTTCTGTCGTGATCTTGCACCA